ATGGGTTTCAAACACTTTCACCAATTCCGCACGACCCGTTGATCTGGCCCACCACCAGCTTGGAGTCGCACTTGATGCGGATGTGCTGTGCTTTCAAGATGGTAGCGAGTCGGAGGCCGCTAAGGAGGGCGTCATACTTGGCTTCATTATTTGAGACCCTCAAGTTGAACCATATGGCATAGTAGGCTCTGAAACCTTCAGGGGATATGAGAGCGACCCCACCCTCGCATGCTTTGGAGGGAACCGTCTGTGAAGAGAGTCCATGAGCCGTCATTGGTGGAGCCCGAGGTGTCAGGTGTGGGTTCCCTATCCATGCATACAGTGACAAAGCTGGCCAAGTCTTTTCCTTTGATGGATGGCCTCAACTTGATCTCTATCTGGTACTGGCTCAGGAAGATCGCCCATTTCACCATCTTGGAGGAGCTGGTGGGGCTCCGAAATGAGGGCGTCGAGGGTTGTTGTGTATGTACATGGACGTGATACGTCTGGAAATAGTGCGTGAGTTTCGTTATAGTCCAAATGATGGTAAACACCAGTTTTGAATGGGAGAGTATATGAGTTCTGCCTCTTTGGCCTCCACGTCTTACTGATGTAAACAATGTTCGCTGGACCCCCTCATCCTCGCGGATGAGTAGCGAACTGATGGCCGAGGTGCTCACCCCAAGTTATAAGAAGAGGGTCTGCCTTGTTTTTGTCTTCGAGAGTACTGGTGGGGAAGCCATATACCATTTCATCTCGTTGAAAGCTTGTTGACACTCCGGAGTCCATTGGAATCCCGCTGTTTTGTGCATGATTTGGAAAAATGGGAGTGACCGCTTGGCCAGCCGAGCCGTCAGCCGCTTCACCTTCTTGACGTTTCGAGAGGCTCCATGTCAATGATCGCTCTGATCTTTTCTTGATTTGCCTCAATGCTCCTTCTGCTGACCATATAACCCAAGAATTACTCCCCTTGGACGTCGAATGTGCACTTCTTTAGGTTGAGGCGCAAGTTGAATTTTTTCATGATTTCAAATATTTCTCGGAGGTCGTCACCATGTGTGGATGATTGCTTGCTCCAAATGATCATGTTGTTCATGTATGCCTCCGATATCCGACCGAGAACTGCTTTGAACAACTTGGCCACCATTTTGGTGTATGTGGCGCCATAGTTTTTTTGAGTCCGAAGGCCATGACGACGTAGCAGAAGATACCCTCCAGGGTCATGAAGCCATTTTCTCGATGTTGTCTTCGTGCACGATAATCTGATGGTATCGTCTGAACGCGTTGAAGATGAATATCAACTCACATCCTGTCGTATCGCCCACTTGTTATTCAATATTGGAGAGAGGGAACGGGTCCATAGGGCACGCCTTGTTGTGGTCGGTGTAATTGATGCACATTCTGAATGTGGGCGACTTCTGGGTGAGGACAACATTTGCCAACCACATTGGGTACTTGACTTCTTTGATGTGCTGAATAGAGAGGAGCACAAAGAGTTCTATTTTATATTAACAAAATCTCGCCTCTCGTAAGAGAGGTAATGACGTTTCTGCTTCACTAGGATGCAAGCGGGGTCGACGACCAACCAATGAGTGATGACAGCTCTGCTGATGCGTGGCATATCCTCCGGTCCCCACGCGAAGATGATGGCATATGCTTTGAGGATGAGGGGACATCGTTGTGTTGATTCTGGAGGACCTATCTCCTGATCTTCAGGACCCGTTCAGGTCGGGAGACGTCTAGAGGGAATCCCTCGACGTCTTCTACCGGCACGGCTTGAGCCTCTTGTCTTTTTGTTGATGTCCATACTAATGGTGTCAACCCGCAGCTCAGGCTTGGTTACCTTCTTTGTTATTTTGAGGTAGCCGAAGCCAGTAGCAGTTGGAAACTTGAGGCAGAGGTGCTTCATGGAGATGATGGATTCTAGGTCCTCAAGTGCTTGTCAGCCCTAGATGAGGTTATGGACGCAGTCCAGGTTTACCACAACGAACTCCATGCCGACCTTGGCTCAGTTTGAGGCGCCACCGACTTCCGACTCTGGGGGGTAGGCGGAATCCGAGAAATTAGAGGTTGAAAAGTGCTAAGTAAGATCGAGTAAGAAATTGGGCAGAGTAACCCTAAGTTTTCACTGAGAAAATCAGATAAGTTTCTACATGTTGGAAGGTGATATTTATACTAAGGAGAAAATACTTGACCATAAAATGAAAAGATGTTATTCTATTGTGGTGAGGACACATGTATTATTTGGCTAACAAGAAGTGTACTAGTCTAATGGTGTGATGACACGTGTAAAGTTGATTGGAGAGATATCATGGACAACTAGCTGATTGGTATTGTGTGTAACATAATTATCCTTTGTGTACCAGAATGCATGAGCGCGCCACATGTGTGTGGTCTGGAATATTCTTTAAAGTAACTGTCAGAGTGACGTGGCACTTGGACAACTGTCACGCCGGTGACATGGCTGCGATTTAGTGTGACACCCGATTGCTGAAATGTCTAAGTCCACAACTGACTGGCGAGGCCCTAAGCTTAGCAGACGAGATCGAGCTCGGGGTACAGTGTTCTTGTTTGGAAGAGAGCAGCCTCAGTTAACTGTTTGCCTGGTAGTGTGCGTGATTCCTTTGTTTCATTGACTTTCTAGAGGCGTTAGTTGACTCCGGGCCCATCTAGGATGTAGGAATTGACGTTGGCCTCGATCGGCGAGAGTCGACCTCGACCTCGGATGCAGTTCTGGCCTTATCTTAGTATTCTGGGAGTCGAATGTTGGGCCGAACCCGGGTGGGCCGAACCCGGGTGGGCCGAGCTCGACCTCGGCGGAGTAATGGCTTGGTGTTTCTGGAGACTTCTTTAAACGTGAATGTTGGGCCGAACCCGGGTGGGCCGAGCTCGACCTCCACTGAATTCAATTTAACTATATAAATTGAAACTACCTTTATAGCGAAAATAATATCTTGTCCTAAACCTATAGTAATATCAGCAGAATCAATCAACCAGTCAATTCAATAAGAACATTATAAATTTCATCATAATTAGTCAATTTAGCCAATTTCAGGGTTACAAAATGTTCTCTAATATTACTACTACTTTTTGGGTTCTTCAAATTTCAATGGTCGAGCAATTTGGCCAGTAGTCCTACGGGTCAGCCTTGCATAAAATTATAAATTTTAAATTCCCAAAATGGGAGTGTCTCTTCTTAGGGTAATTCTATTGACAGCCCCACTTTTACTAATCAGAGCCTCTTATTTCCGTATTCCTATCATGCCCTTCTACATAAGACAACCCTCATCGCATTCAAATTCAAACCCGATGCCTCTGGTTTTCGGAATGAGGAATAATTTAAACCGGAAATAGCACCCTATCCCATTCTGTTTGCGCCGCCAACTAATCGTAGATGAGTTGATAACTGTAGTAAGCAATGCACGACAGACTCCATGTCTCCATGGATATTAGTCTTCAAGATTTCAACTACCCTGGCACATGAAGAATCGTCGTGTATTTGGATACAATTCTTGATTGAAGTGGTAAAAATTATCTCAAGAGTTGCCCAATTTTTCTTAATTTCTAGAGATTGGTATTTTGATATAGGTATGTATGCCTTCTCGGGTTTTAGGCTTTTAGCCTAATTTTATATACCAATGTTTTAGAGATGATGAGCACTCATTGAGCAACCGCGCATGGTAGAAATCCAGCAAGAATTACTAAATCAATAACATTCAGCTATGAAAATCCAAATGTTACGGAGTATTATATTACGTACTTCGTATATTACTTAATTATGATGAAGGCTGTGCGACAGCATGTGGTGTCGTGGTGGTATGAACGAAAGCCAAGTGCCTGCGTTTAATTGTATTTCAAATTTTCAATAGTGCTGCAAGCTGTATTATACAAGGGTAAATTTGAGATTTATACTATTTTATTTTATTTATATTTAATTTGGGGGCTATATTTAGTAATTTGGGGGCTGGGAATAGAAACTCCCGTCTTCTTATTCAAACCTTTTCCATGAAACATAGAATCTAAAAAATTGTAAAAAAATTAAATAAAAAATATGCAGGCTTTACCCGCAGCCTTTGTCTCCTTCCAGCACAATCACTTTTCTCCAGAAAAAATATCAACCTATAAGAAAAATGGCATTCTGATGGTGGTTTGAGAGTAAAGTTTGATATTTTCAAAGATTAATATGTCATCTCTATGTCATTTCACATAAAGTTTATAATTTTACCCAATATGACATTTTCCCATGCGGACAAAGGTGATGGTGTTGGGAGGCGACAGATGCGGCGGCAGGACAATACATATTTTTATGTATTTATTCATTTATATATATTTTTCAATTAATTTTAATTTTAATTTTTGTTTAATTTTTATAATCTTCTTTTATTTTTTTATTTTTTATTGCGTGTTTATTACTCCGTATAAATTTATAATTTTTTATGATTTAATTATGAACAAATTATTATTTTATTATTAATATTAGTAAAATAAGACCTATTGGAGATTGTAGGAAGAGGGTAAGAATATATAGACTAGCATTCATTTCATTTCTTATATTTTGAGATAAAAAAGACTATATCCTACTTTGACATTTTGACTTTTGAGGTCCTATTTACTATTAGGGATATTATGCGATATAAAATTAGAAAAACAATGAGTATATACGGAGTATTATATACGAAGCAAACTAACGAGGTAACAACACGTCAAGACAAAAAGTGCCATATTTTGATTAAAAAAAATGGTGATGCGAATATGAAAGAGCTTCATCGCATAACCATCGCTTCTCTATTTTATAATCTTCAATTCCTTAGTATGAAATTATTATAATAATATTATAATAAGTAATTGTCTTAAATAGGAGTAAACTAATGAGAAAATTCCATTATAGGAGTTGCCTTCGATTAATTCCCAAAATAGGAGTTATGAGTTGGGTGACCCGTTTCTCTTCCCGATTCTACCCTCACAACCATCCTAAATTAATTCTCCCCACTTGTTATTTTCTCTCTATTTTCTTTCGTCACTCTTCTCTCGCATCTATTTTTTCAGTTCTTCTCTCTCCTCTCCCATGGATTTGCAGACTCTCTCGTAGCATCTATTTTTTCATTTCTTCTCCTTCGTATCAGATCTGTAATTTTGGACAATTTATTCTCCCATCTCCAGTCACCGGCAGCAGCCATATAGGTGAGATCTCTTCTTCTCTTCTTTTTGTTCTTCTACTTCGTCTTCTCTTCTTCTTCTTCTGACCTTCCTTTATCTCCCTTCTTCCTCCTCAATTAACCAAGCAATAAAAACTGTTTTTTGTTTTTATTAATTTGAGTAGAGACCGTATATTTGGTTGGTTCTCTTTGAACCCAACCTAGATAGATACTAATTGATGAAAATGAATCGTTTCCTTTCGATTTATACGAAGTGAGATTTAAAAATTGAAGATAATTGATGTATATGTGTCTCTACTTCCTAGTAGAAACTTGACTACTATCATTTTTAGGGATTTTTTATTTTTTCCTTCAAGTTTCTTGTCTACTTCTAGATCTATTTTTATCCTATTTTTATTGATTTCTTCTCTATTTTGTGTTTAAACTTTTTGTAGCTTTTCTCTTATCACCTTTTATTTTACTATATAATTTTTAGCATTCATTCAGTCAATGTTTTTGTAACTTTTCACATTATTTTTCCGATTTAAATATGAACTTACTATTTTAAGGTAATTTGTATGGTGATAGGATTAAAAAATTACTTAATTTTATGGCAAATACAATATTAATAAAGTCATTTTCCTGTGAAAATATTATTTTGACAATTAATGTCACTATGATGTCAAATACATCATTAATAATGCCATGCTTATCATATATTTTTTTCATCTTTGCACATAATGCCATTTGTATGACACTAATTCCATCTTAATGGCAATATTGCTAATATTAAAAATGTCATTAAGTGTCAAATGAAAATAAGATTAATGGCAATATTGCTAATATTAAAAATGTCATTAAGTATCAAAATGGCAATAAGATTAATGGCAATATTGCTAATATTAAAAATGTCATTAAGTGTCAAAATGACAATAAGATTAACATCCCCTGTTTTTATAAAATGGTTAGATGGCATTTTAAAACTCTCTTTCCGGATCTGAGATTGATAATACATGATGGAACTAGAACAAACAAAGGTGGCGCTGGAATAGGTGGCTATGACACAGAATCTTGTGGCGGATGAGATGGAGAAGATGACAGAGACGACCAGTGTGGTGATGGAGATGACTGCGGCGTCCATTAGCGGCAACAACAGTGACTAGCATCGGAGGAATCTGACAGTGGCAATGGAGCCGGCGACGGAGATGGTGGCGTTGGCGGGGAAGTGGCGGCGGCAACAGACGCAAGGCGTCAGTGGTGCCGGCAACAACGCAACTCTTCGCAATGGATGTCTTGCTGGAGAGTGTAGATCTGGAGTCTGGAGATGTGTAATTCCGTACAATCTTTTTCATTAGTACTACAGAGTATTTTATTTTATTTTTCAACAAAGATAGCAGGGATTTCATTAAGGGTATTCCTGTCAACTCCTGTTTTTTTACTCCTATCTCATGACACGGAACATTACACTCCTAATTTTGCACTTTTATCATCTTTTACTCCTAATCAGGGAATAATCTCTATTATAATCTGCTGACACTTTGTATATAAACAAGGCGATGGGGTTGGATCAAGGTAACTGGCCTTCTCTTCGCTCTTACAACGCGAACAGAAGAAAGCCTGCAGGCAGAGATAAGAGAAAAAGGCCGGCCGGGAAAATGTCAGCTGATTGGGGCGCGGTTGCGGCGGCGGCGGTGCTATTCGTACTGTTCACGCCGGGGTTGCTGTTTCAGTGTCCGGCCCCTTCAGGCCGCTGCATTGGATTCAACACCTTGCAGACCGGCAAACTTTCCATTGTCATTCATACCGTTCTTTACACTTTGGCCATGGTTTTCTTCGTGTACGTTATTGGTGTCCATGTGTATACAGGATGATGACCAGGCCACTTTATTTGCTTTTCTTTTCTGATTTATGACTTCTTGATGTAAAAATTTGTGTACATTTTCTTCTACTTTGATGTAAAATTATGTGATTTATTCCAATGGTTTGCTTCCTGCTTAATTTTTTATACTCATAAATTTCCCCTGTTGCAAACAGTCGAAATGCATGGCAAAATAATCAAATAAATTCTTTTATTATTTCCAATCCATGGATCATTGAATCCTTGTAAATATTAGAAAAGTATCATATATGTTGTCATGAAATTTATTTCCAATCCATGGATCATTAGACCTAAGTTGTCATGAAATTTATTGATTTTTTTATTTTAGAAAATTCAAATATTATTTAGTTTTAATAAACTAATAAACTTTTGTGAAGAAAAGTTTATCAATAATGGAATTAATAAAAAAATAAATAATTTAAACCTATGAAATGTTAGGTTCTAGATTGATAGTTTTCTCTTTAAAAAAACAGATTGATAGTTTTCTATCATTCTGATCCTGTACCGATATATTTCATCTTTCGGATCCTGGAATTTTAACTACTTTGACAAATACTTGGTACTATTCAGAATAAACTTTTTTTATATCAAAGCACCAATACACCTTATTTGAAATGAAATTCGAAAAACAAAAGGATTGCCATAAAAAATAATCTAGCTAGTAAATCATTAGAATGAGAGTAGGCCTGTCAATGGGTCGGATACGGGCCGGAACTATAAATTCCATATCCATATCCGTTGAAAATTTTTTGGTCCAGATCCGGACACATTTACCCTTCGGGTCCTAAACATATGTTCCAGATTTGGATCCGGCGGGTCTCGGATCCGGACCGGGTATACCCGCAAAAAAAACTAAATGACATATGCAAACAAATATAATACGGAGTATATAAGAAAAAAATGTTCATGTTGAAAGCTAAGAGATCATATATACATAAGCAAAATGATGTTCTATTCATTACTCCGTATGAACTATACAATATATACGAAGTATGTTATATGTATATTAGTGAACTCGTAGAGAACCTAGAGCATTAACTCATTAGCGAAAATCCCATTATAGTGGGACAACCACTAAATAAGCCTACAAATATTAAACCATTTTTTATATTTGATTATTTTCCTTATTTTATGTTTAAATATTTTTATATATAGTGTGTGTGTATATGTAAAAAATTATAACTATAGTTATATCATCACGGGTCGGGTCCAAAACGGGCCAGAACTTAAAAAGCAATATTCGACCCATTTTCTTTATCATGTAACGGGTTCGGACATGGATCCGGAAAATGGTTCTAAATTTAGACCCACACCCTCAAATAAAGTGCCGGATTCGGATCGGGTCCGGGTCTAGACCCGACCCATTGACAGGCCTAAATGAGAGTTAGCTCGGTCATATCATCATTTGAAAATTGAAATAAACTTTTTAATATTCAGAATTGGGTGTAAACATATGCTTTGCTTATTCTATTAAACAAACATTTTCTATTACACAATTCAGACCGTAAAATCAAAACTTACGTGTTTGGTGAAAAAGTTGGCTTATAAGCCTGAAAAACCAAAAATCGTGGTTACCAAACGGGCACTTAGTGTCGACATGTCGCCGCTAAAAGTTCTAAATTTTCCAAAAAAAAGATACAATATATTACTGAATTAAATTGTTTAAATTGATTTAGTCCGATCGCTTTGGTAACTAACAAACATTACGTTTATGGACATAAATCAAATAGATCATAAAAATTTAATTATTTAACTCTTATATGAGTCAGGCGACTTTGGTGACTAACAAACTCCTTATAAGTAAATAATTAAATTTACATGTTCACCAAACATAGATTAATTAATCAAACAGATCATAAAAATTTAATTATTTAACTATCACATGAGTCAGACCACTTTGGTGACTAAAATACTCCTTATACGCAAATAATTAAACTCAAATGTTCATTAAACGTAGATTAATTATGATCAGTTTGATCTACTCAATCAAAATTTCTAATTAACCAAACTAGTTGTTTCACTTTAGTGATTAACAACTTATCTTATCATTAGAAATTTAAATGAGTACATAAATATGAACAAAATGATCTAAATAAACTAGCCAGGCCACTTTGGTGATAACAAGCTACCAAAATATTTAAACAATTAATATAATAAATAATAGAAATAATTACATAAATATGACCAAAATAAAGATGATTTACAAAAATATGACTAGTTACTAGAGTAGTAATGAAATCATGGTAATTCATGTTCAAGTTTTGAACTTAAGTTACCACAACACTATGTTGTAGTAATGAATAGTCACATTTACGTAAGTAAGTTTTATTTTAGTAATATTCTTGTAAAAAACTCTAAATAATAACATGAGACAAAACTAATAGCACATTAAATTTTATTAGTGCGTAAAAGTCTCTTATATGTGGAAGCTTAAATCTTGTGCAAAAACCGATACCATAAATTAGCAATCAGTTACTATTTCAATCTATCTTAAAATAATTATACTAAACAGCCCAAAATTTTAATTTACACAGGGTAACATACCAAACTAGCCTGTACGTACGTATAACCAAAATACGGAGCATTTATCAAGTCAAAGAATCCTAAGGGGGCGTTTGGTTCTTTGCACATTAAAACTTTACATGTAAACCGCTTGCAAGTAAATTGTAGGGATATAATCATTTTGCACGTAAAATATAAAAACATTGTTTGGTGAGGTATGCGGTCCATTTTTAAAATACATGCAAAGTAAATACATGATTTGGCTCAAAAATGAGTTCATACGTCAATAGCCAATTAAAAGTATTAACATGACAACTTAAAGTACGTGATAAAAGTAATTTTTATTACTAGCAGGGACGGATTTGGGGGGGGGGGGGGTCGGGGGGCGACCGCCCCCCTTGGGCTGTCAATTTTTTTTACCATATATGTAGTATTTTCATAAAATTTTCATACTTTAATTAAATATATATGTTTTCGCCCCCCTTAACATTTAGTTTTCAAAGTAATATATAGCCTTATAGTGTAAGACTTAATTAGAGATTTAAATTAAGTAAAATCTAAAATAATTTAGACAATTTAAGACTTAGGATACCTATTATATAAAAATTCCTAGCTAGCTTTATAATATTTAATTATCTTTATTTGATAACTAGTACTAAATTTTTTAAAAGAACAAATGATATTAAATACCTGACACACTAGTTAAAAATTTTTTAGATCATGTGAAGTGAATCCAAATATAAATGTTTTTTGACATTAAATTATACAAAGTACAATTCATTTACTTCTTATTTTCTAAAAGCAATTCATTGCATAAGTAATAAACTTTAACATATATTAGCATTAACACAACTATAATATGCACCATATGTATGAATAAACAATACTAGTATACTACGTATAATATTATTCCAAAAAGAATAAGCAATTCTTTATTATGATAAGATTCATGTGGTTAAACAAGATATAAGTTATTTAAAAGGCATTGATTGATATGTACCTTTTAAATTTTTTACCTTCAAATAATTTGAAAAAATGTTATATATCCTTTTTTATTTTTAAATGAATTTCCTTTGATTTGCAATTTCTTATGATTTAATGTATCGGTACTTTTATTTAGAGCATGTACGGTTACAACGGTAAAGTTATTTTTCTATTGCCTAAACTTAGAGTGTAATAGATTTAAACGTCATCGTGTATGTATTAATGAATTTTTTTGAATAAGAATTAGCCACAAAGTCCTACAATAGTGAAAAAAATTGTCCCGCTACACAAGTGAAAAAATTTGCTCTGCTACATTAATGAATTTTTTTTCGCCCCTCTTGACTCAACATCCTGGATCTGTCCCTGATTACTAGTATTTCAAAACAAAAAACTAATCTTCAGAAACCATGAGTGACTGAAGGGGATATTTTTTTTAGGATTACTGTAGTACTTAATCTTCAGAAAGTCATATATCTGGCCATTTGGTCTTGGAAATGTTTGTTGGTAGCTGGCTGCAAACAAAAACAAGAACCTCATATTAAAACTTGTTCCGCAAATTCAAGACTTGTTTGACTAAAATGAATGCTTAAGAAATGACAGGAACTTTAAAGAGACAAAAATGTAAAAATAAAAGATAAACTTACGTGAGCGTAGATGGGATTTGGTCTGAGCGAGCGACCGGCCAGCAAAAGGTCACCGATAAGGGTCCGTTAGATGCGGAGGAGGCGATTGAATAGTAAAGCCGAACGAGACAGCTGATTATACGATTGAATTGCAGATGACTTTCTTTCTCACCTTCTTCCTCCTGTTCCTTCCGCACAAGAGTGAGAGAAGGATATAAGCCGATTATACAATATGACATATCTTAGGGATCGCTTCAGCAAAATCGAAATTTTTTAAATTAAGAAATGACGTGAAATATATATCAAATAATTTCATGACATGTGTTGAATGCACCTGTGCATCCTACAATGGTAGTGCACCGAAGAGCTACCCTTAAAAAAATTGGTTTACTAATCGTGCACCACATCACATAACTAAAAACCTGTCGTTTTTAAAGAGCTATTATTTGATACCCAGTATAACTCTTACGAAGCATTATTTGAACTTTCTTCTCTTCAAGGCATATTCTAAAAAAATAACCAATGATTTTATTTTGTATCTGAAAAGTTAAATTTCATACATATATGATACTCCCTCCGTTCCATAGTGAGCTTCCCAATTAGATTTATGATGCTTGACTGACGATAAAGTAACTTGATCTCTGTTTACACTCTGATTATTTTTACTAAATGAAATTTATATATTCAGAAATTACATTAAAAATTTTACAAAGTTTGATCAAGAAAATTTAAATTTGATAAAAATTTGATGTGTAAAACAAAAGATTAAGAATGATTTAAGTTATCCATGTGAATAGTGGTTTGGAACCATTGAATGGGATGGAGGTAGTATATATATATAGAATAATAGATACATATTTGTGTCACTGCAAATTGGAATTAGCATATACTACATATTTAAAAGGCTTTCTTTCCGTGAAGACGGTAAGCCGTTCATTTTTTCATAGTTTGATGCACTATTAAATTTCGATGTTGCACTTTTTAGCATTTACATAAAACTTGGGTTATTCACAATATTTTTTATTTAGCAGGGTTCGACCAAAGTTCAA